GAAGCATTTAGGGTAGTTTTCACTTTGGGCTGTTCTCAGCATACACCATTTGTTGTAATAAAGGGCAGACAAAGTTGAATAGAATCAGATGGTGATTTAATTCCAGTCTTGAAGAAGAAAGAAGGTTTGGAGTGAGGAGGGATTTTTTTTTTTTTCTTGTTTCAGTTTCTGAAACTCCTGTAATTATGCGCAATTACCTATTATGTTGGAAATTGGTTCTCAAAGATGTAGAACCTACTTTGTGATCTTAAAAAAAAAATTGTAAAAAATATGCAGTTTAAGAAGAGAACAGTTTGAGTGTGGAGAAAAATGAGGCTACAGCTGTAGGATTTTGTTATGCTTTTAGTACCAAATCACAAAACCCATTAAATTATTTATCCTACAGGCAGGCGTTGTGCTGCAAACGTTGAATACAATTGCAGATTCCAGGAAAAGAAATGCGTGCATTTTAATTGCGTCTGATTTAAACAACCTCTAATTTCATTAGCCTTAATTTTTTTTTTCCCTAAGAAATAATAGAGTTCATTTTTGGTACTAGGACACAAATGACACTAATATTTTTTTTTTCTTTCCTTAAAGAAGCAGTCTATTGAGGATCAAGCCATATAAAAACACATGTCCATATACACACACAAGGAAGCTGCATACACATGCCTGACACGTTCTCCTATATATACACGATCTGCGATATACCCCAAAGAATTAATGGGTGCACCTATCATGTTCTTTGCTCCCCACGCATGCATATAGACTGGCTTCCTATGTTTCACTTCCATTGTTTCTCCTGCTACGATGTTACAAACGAAGCTGTCCTCCAGAAGTCCTGCTTAAACAGCAGATTTTTGTTCCCAGATGCAGAACACAGAAATTTATCAAAGGTTGCGTAATATGGGGGGAGGCCCTCTCAAGTCATATTTTGGGTTCATTTGAAAAATCTTGGCTTTACCATCCTCTGTAATTAAAACTCTTCTGTCTTAAGATTTATTGGTGCAGTAGTGAGTGCATTTTCAAAATGTTTCTTTACAGCAGCTATTGGAAATCTCTAACTCTGCCTCAGGCAGGATGCCGCGGCTGCTGTACTTTTTGGGGTCTATTCTCCCCATGATAAATGAGCTTAACTTCCAAGATAAGTTACAATAACTCTCGGAGGGGAAACCCTTATTACTGTTAATATACGTTGCTCTCTATCATTGCATTTCAAATACGGTTGCATGGAAAAGAAACCATACAAGACTGCTCACATCTTCCTTTGTCAATAGAGTCAGGGTATGCATATGTAAGAATTTAATTGGAAAATTGGATAATTATCCCCCCACCCAAGTTATGGTATTTTTTTGTGTGTGTTGGAAAATGGGTATATTGAATAATATACAGTCTAGTGATACCACTCATACATATATGTGAGCAAATCCCAAAGTCATGATGGTAACAGTATTATTTATTATCTGATTCAATTGCTATCATGCCGACTTGACCCACCTGAGATTCCTTAAAACGAGATTTTTTAAAAATTTCACTCAAATGCTACATGATCTCTAAAAGGATGTGTGATTTTAATGTGATTTTGATCATTTCAGATTTAAGAGAGCATTTCTGCCTTTCGGAGCCCTTATTTCCAGATTTCTAATACTCTAGCCCTTTTTCTTAAAGTATGCTTCCTGAAGTTGTTTACAGATGAGAATCAAGAGTAAAACTGAAACTTGGAGATGTTTTGCAGTTTGGTTTTACTGAGTTAGTAATACCCTCAGACCCTACCCCCCTTCATTTCACTGTGCTCCTCAACCAAGAGTGGATTTTGTCTCCGGGCTAATGAATTTTTACTCTTCTTCCTGGGTTGTTCTCAAAGCAACACATAGATGGATGGGTATGGGCAGATTGGAGCCTGATCCTTTCTCCTTTGAAAGGGTTAAGTGGAAAGGGGGCCTGTTGAAAGTAGGGAGTCAGGAGGGTGGGGGCATGAGGGAAAAGGGAAAAGGAAAAAGAAAAGGTTAGTGTTTTCTGTCCATTAAAGAGAGTATTCTGTTCTGAAACCAAATTGGTCATGCATTCCAGAAGCGTTTCCTGGTAGAGTGGGGTCTGACCGGAGCACCTGCCTCACTATTGTACTGGTTTGCGCTGCTCTCCTCTGGCCCTTTCCTTTAGCGGAGGCAGAATCTGTCACTTATTATAGACAGATTGCTCGTGGGCCCAGAACGGCTGTGTGCCACCGTGGGGATGGGGAAACACTGTGACCGGCTGCATCTCCACCCAAGCCATCGGGTATACAGAGCTTTGTTTTTCCTCTCTGAGCCCCTAAAGAACAACAATGTGAATTCCTAATGACATCATGTTGAAGTTCACCAAACAAATGACACCATCTGAACCCAAGATACAGATGGGTTAGTATCCCAAGCTAAAGAGTAAGAAATACAAAAAAAGGGTGAGAGCTGGGGGTTTGGCATTTCAGGACCCTGGAAGAAAAGGGGTGTCATGGCCAGCGTGCGGCAGGTGGAATCCATTAGCTCTGTTAACACTGTAGGTAAATGATCAGACTTGCTTTGTGGATCCTGGGGGGAATTCCCCAGGGTCCCAGCTGTGTTTTTCTGTTCCACACAGACTACCTCTGTGGATTTATGCCCTGGACAACCTCAGCATGGAGGAAGGACACCTTATCCAGAAATGATGTCATAGCCTTACTCCTTCGTGTTTCAACTCGTTATTTTCTTTAGGCGTGTTGCTTAAGAGGTAAACACACTGCAAACATTTTTTTAACGCATACTTGAAGGGATAAGTTGGTTCCTCTTTCATCTAATCATTTTATTTTTCCTCTTCATTCAAGAACTGTGTAATGAACAGAAGAGGAAAAAAAGAAAAGAAGGTTTTTATTATTATTATTATTATTGCATTCTTTTTAATGTGCGCACATCCAAAGGAACTTGGTGTGATAAAATCCAGTTGTGGAAGATTCACATTGCCCTGTGGCTGTCTGTTCGGATTAATGAAAGGTGGCCTTTGTAACCAGATATCCCAACCCTACGGTCACCGTCTCTGTCCTCTCTACAACTGTCCTGCTGAACAGTAGACAGAAAGACAGACCTTAAGTATGTTGGACACTGACATCTTTGCTGATGTCTCTGGACTGATGTTAATTATAAGAAAAAAATGTGAGTAGAAGTGTATATGGTATAGAAAAAACCTACTAAAATTCAATTTTTATAAATCATAGTTTGAGTCAAAAGGTTTGGTTAGGGAGAACGCCTGGCGAAGCTTTACACAGAGCACCCCTACCCCCTTGTGGCACAGTGGCGCTTGCAAAACGGAAATTTCATCCCTTTGTAGAAGTGTTGAGACTTTTGAACTCAGAAGCACCTGAACTGGGCCTTGAAGCACTGCCAGTTCTGTTGAAGATCAGAACAGTGGAAAAAAGGGTGACTGTTCAACTCTTGGGGAGAAGGGAAAGGGTCTGAGGGATTTTGCTTTTAGATTGTTTTGATTTTTATTTTGGTTCTAGGTTTTAACGCATTAAAATCTATGTGGCCCATGGAATCACCACCATTCTGGCTAAAGCTAGCTCATTTATGTATATACATCATCATTTATTTAGTTAAATACTTAATTGTCCTCATCAAAATAAAGAAAACTTCACAGTTTATAAAAAGCTCTGACAACCTTTCACTAATTTGTTGCCTCCAATCGCTTCAGGAAACGTGGCTGTTCTCCTTTTGCAAATGAGGAAACTAGAATTCAGAAAATTAAGTGCCTAGCCCGAGTTGACATCATGCTGAACAGAACTATCATAGGGTAACATTCCTGGTCACAGAGGAAGCCAGGACTTGAGTCCAGGTTTTCAAATACTAAAGCTGGGAGTCTGTGGCATACCACCCTGTATCTCATAATTTTAGAAATTTCCCAATGCATTTAGCTCAAAGAGCTCTCCTCGATGGTCTTCCGCCCCTCCCTCAACTTCAAGATCTTCATCTACTTCTCTGTCCAAACTTCTGCTCCTCCTTGAAAACTCGGTTGAACTTGTTACCTCCTCCATGAAGCCTTTTCTGGTTCCCATAAGGAGTCTTTCATTTTCTCTTCTGCATTCTGTCTACATTCCACTCATTCCTCTATTTTAGCAGTTACGTGTTATATTGGCATTATCACTTTACTTATCTGTATCTCCCCCTTAGAAGTTTAGTTCCCTCCGGGAGAGGTCTTGACTCATTCATGCTTGTGTTTCAGCATTTATGGTGGAACTTGGCACATACTATCTATCAGGAGAGAGACTCCGTATGACAGGGTGAATCCCCCTTACTTGTCCCTTGTCAATAATGTTGGTGTCCAGGAACTCTAAAATGGCCTTCCTGTGAATAAGTTCCAGGACTCTTTCTCAGTCCCCACCTGGCTTTCCCTTGTTTTTCTGTCCTTAGTAGCAGACACCAGAATGGCTCTGGTTTCAATTCATTCGTTTATGTATTTAACATTTACATATTAATGCAACAAATATTGAGTACTTGCTCCAGGGCAGGTGCTTTTCTGGGTGCTGGAAGTACAGAGCTTAAAAAGATAAAGGAAAGAAATAGCTTCTGACCCCCAAGAAACCCAAAACATAAAGGGAAAGACAACAAGCAAACATCATAATGGAAGTAAGTTGGGCACAGATTTCCGTGAAGCCATTTCTAAGGGACAGAAGATAAGTAGGAAGATAAATCTATAAAGTTTCCCAGGAGAGGTCATATCTAAGTAGTGTTTTGATGCATGAGTACATATTAACTGGACAGAGAGTAAGAGAAGAGCAAGGGAGATTTGGGCACAGCAGCATAATCAGAATGATTAGAGCAGGATCATCGCAGAGATTCTGAGAAAATACAGCACATTCAAGATACTACAAGATGTTCAGTATGACAGTTGTGGCGTTAAGGGAGACAGCAAATGACGAAGCTGGTGAAGACAGCAAGAAACCCACCGTGAAATACTTAAAACTTGAGTCTTACAAAAATTATTATTCTGTAAATATGAAAGCAATGAGGAGCCATTGATGGACATTAAGGAGGTGAGTATTGTGATCACATTTCCTTTTTTTAGAAAATTCTCTTCAATAGAAGTGTGGAGCACACCAGAAAGGGTAAGACTTAGAGGAAGAGAATCTTGCGGGAAAAGATGAGATTGAAGGCAAGGAAACAATTGGGAAGTTACACCAACTTGGGTAACAATTCAGAAAATAAATTGGTGAGGGAAAGAACCAAGAGCATAGGAGTTCCAAAACGGATTTAAAAGATCTCATTTTATAATAAGGGATAAAGAGGGGACTTCTGGGGGTGAAAACTAGCAGAAGAAAGTAGTTTAGAGGGAGAAGAGTGGGAATGAGAAGACATGCCACTCAAAATAAGCCTGCAAACTAAAGTTCCCAAACTTGGAAAATCAAGTACAGATAAGCAGAAAAATTAAATCCAGATAAATTCACGTTTGGAATTTTCAAAGACATAAATGAAAGTATAAGTTCCATTAAAAAAGAAAGGAACAAGGGTCTTCTGGCTGGCTCAGTTTACAGAACATGCAGCTCTTGATCTCAGAGTTAATGAGTTCAAGCCCCACATTGGCTGTAGAGCTTATTTTTTAAAAAAATAAAGAAAGAAGCAAGAAATGAACTGGAAATAAATAGAAATTAAATAAAATCAGTTATGAAAAGGGAACAATTGAAATCTTACAAATGAAAAATATAAGTAGTGAAATAAAAAATAATATTTAATAAATAAAATGAACTCTGGATTGGAATAAAGAAAAGGTAACTATACCAAAGTTAACACAGAACTAACGCAGAACTAACACAGAAACTGACACCAAGAGATAAGAAGATAAAAATATGAAATGTCAGTTACTGTTTACTGAGTAAAGATTGAATGGCTCCAACAATTGCTTAAGACCTCCCATAGAAGAAATGCCAAGAGTGACCGAGAAGTGATATATACTATGGAATATTCCAAAATAAAATATATATATATATCTAAATCAAAAGTGCATTGCAGTCATTGAGTAGGATAAATAAAAATAAAACTACATCTAGACATATTGCAGTGGAAGTGTAGTCTATCAAAGACAAAGAAAACTCCTCAGAAGCTACCAGAAAACGTATATTGCTTAAAAATGAATAAAGATTAGGGTAACTGAAGACATCCTATAAGCGACAATAAATGTCAAAGCCACCGGAATAATGTCTCCAAACCACTGAAGGAAAGCATTCTATATTCAAATATATTACCATTTAAGCTTGAGGACAGAAAAAAACAAAATCTTAAAACAGAAAAACTGGGAAAGTTTTACCACAAACTCACTCAAATCACCATTAAATGATATTCTTAAGCAGGAAGAAAAGAGGTCAGGTGGAAGGCAAGGTTAATAATAACACCTAACAGTTACTGAGTATTTATTCTCTGTCAAGCACAGTTCTGAGTGGTTACATTATTAATTTAATCAATTGTTTAAAAATATTTATTTATTTATTTATTTATTTATTTATTTATTTATTTATCTGAGAGAGAGTATGAGTGGGAGAAGGGCAGATGGGGAGGGAGAGGCAGAGGGAAAAAATATCAAACAGACTCCTGAGTGCAGAGCCCCACATGGGGTTCGATTTCAGGACCCTGAGACCATGACCTGAGACAAAACCAAGAGTCAGATGCTTAACTGACTGACCCTAACCAGGCGACCCTAGTTTAATACCTTTTTATAAAAATCGAAGTTAGGTACTATTATTACCCTCTATTTTATGGTTGAGAAAACTGACTCACAAGAAAGATACTTTAACTTTCCCAGCGCTAGAAACCTGCAGACCTGGGGTTTGAACCCCAGCAGCCTGGCTCGAGGAGGTTCACACTCAACTAGTACACTCAGTGCCCCAACAGAAGACAAAGATGAGCAAGACATCGATGCGGCATATTGCTAAGTGTAATTGTTAGATGTGAAAGTAACCATTTTTATGTGTGTAAAAAATACCCGGAAGAGGCAAAGAAATGGCAACTGAAGATGGCTCTTGCTGTGTAGAGAACGGTGAAGGGGAGATACAGAACAGAAGCCTCGACTTCGGTATTCATGTGTGGAGTGGTTCTTAATAGGGGAGCAGGCTGAGGTGGAGAAGAGAATGTAGATGGAGCAAGGTGTCAGAGGCAGCAGGAGGAGGCGAGACCACCGCATAGGAAATTTTCCTGGATTATTCCTCCACTGTGATCTCTCATCTTTGGATTTCTAGAACCTTTAGGACCTAAATCACTCACACTGGCAGGTCATTATAGACTGAACATTCTATCCTCTTCTTCTTCTTCTTTTTTTTAAATCTTGTTATTTATTTATTTCACACACACACACACACACACACACACAGATCACAAGGCTCCCCACTGAGCAGAGAGCCTGATGTGGGGCTCGATCCCAGGACCCTGAGATCATGACCTGAGGCAAAGGCAGAGGCTTAACAAACTGAGCCACCCAGGTGCCCCCTATCCTCTTCTTATTCCCAAGTAAACACTAAGCTTCTTGAGGGGAGGAATTATGTTTTATAGTTCCTTTAGCCCTTCAGTCATCTAGAACAATTCAGTGAGGGGAAAAAGAAATCATTACAACTGAATGATTCATTGATCAATTATGAAGTTGCAGTCCATAGACGGGAATTGCATATTTATCTTCGTATTAAATACATCAAGTAAGGAAAGCAATATTTTTCAAATTACTTATGTTTTTATAAACACTATGTATATTTCAAGAAACTTAACAGTGGAAGCCTTGGAAATACTTATGTTGAGTCTCTAAGACCAACAGTTCTTAATTCTTTGGGATTAAAGTATTTATTTCCTCTGATAAATGTCTCCACAAGCTACAAAATATACAGTAGAGCTTGCTTAAGACATAACACAGTTTCATTCATGGACATTCTTCCACTCCTGAGTAGCTTCCATTGACTATAGTAAACCTAAACTTTGAGATCCCAGAAATGAACCTGTCGCGGGGGGGATTCCCTTTTTCAGAAGAAGGTGGGCACTTCTTTCAGTTGAATCACTTACAGGATCATCTGAGAATTGTTCTGAGCTAATAGTCTCTTATTCCTAACTCTGCATCCCCGGCTCAGGCAGCCCTCCCTTATTCTCTAACATATAGTCCTAAAATATTACTGTTGAGTTTGAGGTCAAGAGAATCTGCTCTGGAGGCTTCAATCAAACCTCTTGGTCTCTTTCCCTTTTTATTAACTTTGGCAAGATCACCTCTAGAGGGGATCTACTTCAGTCTCTAAGGTCTCTTTTGAGGCTCCGAACATGATCCCAAATGGTTGATGTGTTCCTTTCCTTTTCCTTTTTCTCTAAAGTTCTAGCTTGTGCTCCTATCCCACAGTTGTTTATTGGTGCCTTGGACCTGCTTGGAGTTACTCAGTTCACAGAAGCCCCACTGACCATCTCAGTCCCATTATCAGAGAGCCCTACACAGTCTAGGAAAGAAACTATTTCCTTCACTTTCTCCAAACTCCTCCATTGGGTCTCTCATCTGACCTACCAAATGCGTTCAGGTGGAGAGTCGGGGCCAAAAGGGAGGACCAGTGATATGTCTCAGAACTAAAAAGCTTGTTTCTACAACCCACTAGCACTCATGAATAATGCCCCAGAGTTTCTTTCTGAGATCCAAAGACATGGTGGTGAAGTGTCTCTCAGGATCCACTGGCACTTCCCAAGACCCACTGGTGAGTACCCCACAGGACTTCAGACTCTTGGAAACGATATGCCACAGCCCTCTAGATGTCCCGTGGACTCTACTAGCATTTCCCAAAGGTGCCTGTGGGCTTCTCAGGCTTTTTGTTTTTTCCAGAGTGGCACTGTGCCTAACCAACTATTCTGATCATTGTGCCAATTTGTCAGGAGCTCAACTGAGCTGGAGAGAGCTGAACTACCAGGTGTCAGAGTAGCTGATTACTACAAATGAAAGTAATAGTGAAGACTTTAATCACTCACTACAATAACATAAACAAGAGGTTAAACCAGACAAAGTACCAACTCATCCATATTTCATCACTCCCCAACCCCACCTCCCGCCATTGAATGTCATCTCTAAAATATCAGGTGGATCAGTACAGACATGGAGATAGTCTTGCAGCCAAAAGATCCTCAAACTAAAGCCTTCTGTGGACCTGGGACAGAATGAAGGACTCTAGATATGCCTAAGACTATGGCTAGCCAGAGGAAGGAGTCCTTGACTGTAACTCCCTTCAGACTTCCGTCCATTGGCTGTGCACCAAGTCTGGTGCAGTACGACAGCATTCTCCATGAGGTCTGCTAGTTAGAGCCTTTGTCATTGTCTTTGGTAGAGCCTGAAAAATCACACATAGGCTTCAGTCAGTATCTGAACTCCTCACCTAGCACACTGGCCTTTGGAGAAAGACCTCTCTCCATGGGGCCCTGGTGAATTTGGCAGTCACCATCATCATCTCCTCTCTCTGTCCTCTACTCCTGCAAGTGGCCAATTCTGGATCAGTTATAGTATTTTACTTCCCAGAGTATAGTGACTGGTCTGAGGATGGAAATGGAGTCCCAGCTCAGCACTTGGGTGGGAGTCCTTATACAGAATTTTCAAAAGTTTGTATGGGAGAGAGGGTATGGGAGAGAGTAATTAACTCTTCTTCTCAGGTCATGAGTTCCTAGGGTTGCCAGAGCCAGACAATCCTGCCAGTGTAGAGAGCTTGCCTGGGAATAAAGTCAACATATAGTGAGAAGACAAGCCAAGTGATGGAAAGAGAGATAAAGTTCTAGTTTGAATGGCCCTTGAACTTTCCAGTCATATGAAATCATAATCCCTTTTGTTTTTTGTTTAAAGGGGGGGAGGTGGTTTTTCTGTCACTTAAAACTAAGCAGCCCTAACCACTGTTTTATATTTTGGTGGTCCCTTTAACCATCAGTGCCTGTTCCTGCTTGCACTCCCAACCTCTCCTCCAACACCATTCCACATGCCATCCTCTCAGTTCATCCCGAACACAGACTTGTGTCCATATACCTTAAGACCCACTTTAAATCTGTTTTCAACCAATGCAGGGCAAGGCATCTGTTCATGTGAAGTATCAGCTTTGAAACTCGGTAGGTGGAAAACTTAGTATTTTTCCACCTACCGAGTTTTGCTGGATTATTTAAGTATAATAACTTTCAAAGTCAATCTAGTATTTCTTGTGTCATTTTTGAGCAAATCTTTAACTGGCTTTTATACCTCTCTAGGAATAACCTCTCAAATGAATACCATTATTAGACCTATACTATGTAATAAACTATGCAGAAAATGAAAAACATCACATGCGCTGTTGCTAATCTACCACCCGTGAGATAATGGGCTGTATACTTTTCTGACTTAAGTAACGAAATGCCTTTTATTGACCAGGGATATCACAGGAGCATTCCTGGGAACCCTCGTAGGTTAGGACAGTGACTTGAGCTGAAGGGTCTGCCTCCCCCAGGGACAGTCCTCATTGTCCAATCCCCCAGACTGTCCTCATTGAGGACACCTGAATTTTGATGGGCCCATCTCTTTCTCCTGCTTTCCAACCCAGCCATTCACCAAAAGCAATTTCCATCTGCTAGAAGGCAATTTGGGTGTCCCTGAGAATGATGCTATGCCCTAAAGCCACTTCCCTCAAGTCCAGTATAGGGGTACCTCCTTAGAAAGTTCTGGGGCTACTGCATCAGGGTCTGGGCTCTGCACTTGGTAGGGAGTCTGCTTCTCTCTCTCTCTTTCTCTCTTCCCCCTTCCCCCCATACTCTCTCCCATGTTCTCTCTCTCTCAAATAAATAAATAAGTCTTAAAATAGTATTTTTTAGAAAAGCTCAGTGGCTCTTAGTAACTGTATTTGTTGAACACCTACTTGGGAATCTGTTCTGATACATGTAATTATCAGACAAGGAGTTTAGCAATTTACAAACCGCACCTGAAATTCGTGATCATAGGATTCCTAACATTTATTTTATCTGTGGTCGATTTAATACACTGCTCATCCAATTTATTCAAGTCCTGAACTATTTTCCCATCACACAGGTGACTATTTAATGAACTGATGGGCAGTGGAGAACACACTTTGATTTATGTGGTGCTAGATGATCTCTACAAGACACCTGCCCCGTGATGCTTTATCCTGTTTAGTTGAGAGGGCAATCATATGAGGTTAGTACTTTCATTACACGGCTTTTAGAACTGAAGAAACTGAAGCATTAGGAGTGTTAGCACAGGGCAAGGTCATGCGGCTAGAGCAGGGCATGTTTGGCTGTAGACCTAGGAAGTCTGACTCCACGGATCACATTCTCAATTACTACACTGTGTGGCCTCTACTATTTCATGACTGCTGCTTATGCATTGAACACTCACCATGATGACCCACATAGAAATGCTTGAATGTAAATAACCATACTGTTTTGGATATTTTTACAGAGCCGATATCCTGCTGCAGAGCTCATTGGCCAGGCCACTGCTAACATAACACCACTAGGTGTGACTCCCGAGATCATCAGGTCAGTATCCTGCTCTGTAAACTGGCTACAGATAGAAGCAGTCCCTTGCAGAGGATAATGGCAGAGTGAATCAGGTTTACTGGCCTCATAAGCTCTTCCCTGGCAATAATCCAGGTGCTTGAGGAAGCTGAATGGTCCCTTCAGTCAATGAGGACAATCTGGGGTGTTGGTGTTATCACTCCTCTGTCCTAAACGTTGGCCTAGCGGATGCAAAGCCCAACACCCGCCCCTTCCAGGTAACACTCCAAGCCTCTGCCCTCCTCACTTCTGTGATAACAATGATAACTGTGATAACAGTTTCCACATGGGAGCTCATGCCTAATAAAAACCCCCTGATAAGGGAGGTTTTTGTTTTGTTTTGTATTGTTGTTAACTTCTTAAATGTTAAAAACAGTCTAAGAGTAAAGCAAGTCTGTGTTAGGATCTTCCGGTTTTGTTCTAAATCTGACTTGCATTTTTTAATATTGCAACACATTTTGTACTTTGTTCATCCACTCATTCACGAAATACGCACTGAGAGCGCACCGTGTGCATGAAACTGACAGCTCTCTTGAGACACGAGGACCTCTGACTTGGAATTATCAGGGAGGAAAACACCTAATCATCTGTTCATTTTGCAGAAGTTATGAAACACCCTGTGTGTGCGTGTGTGTGTGTGTGTGTGTGTGTGTGTGTGGATTTTAAGATTTATTTATTTATTTTAGAGAGACAGAAAGTGCTCAAGAGCAGGAGCAGGGGAGGGTTAGAGGAAGAGAATCTTCAGCAGACCTCCTACTGAGCACAGAGCCCAACACGGGGCTCCATCTCAGGACCCTGAGATCACCACCTGAGCCGAAATCAAGAGTCCTACACTTAACCGACTGAACCACCCAGGCGCCCCAACACTCAGCATATATTTTATTTGAATTTTTTTTTTATTTGATTATAGCTGACAGTGCTACATTAGTTTCGGAGGTACAACACAGTCTTCCAGTAACTTTGTACCTTATGCGACACTGACCACAAGTGTAGCTCCCGTCTGTCACCCTACAAAGTTATCATAATACCATTGACTCTAGCCCTTATGCTGTACCTTTCTTCCCCATGACTTATTCATTCCATAACTGGAAGCCTGTTCTACCCTCACCTATTTTGCCCATTCCCCACCCTGTCCCTCCAGTATATCTCCCTCCCCCCAGTATATCTTTTAACTTATTTTTAATAGGATAGAAAAGAACTTACAGTCAAAGAGAAATGACTGGGTTAGGCTAATAAATCCTTTACGTATAGCAAACCCTCAAACAAGGAAATGAAAGCTCAGAAATTAAGAAGGCAAATACAAAGTCACATGGCTAAGAAAGGATGAGCTGTCTGTCTCCAGAAGCTCATGTTCCTGTCCATAACTAGAATCTCCTCTTCATTCCGGTAATTCTGAGGATAGGTTGTTCATAATAATTGTCAAAAAGAGCCACTGAGGAAGTGGTAATCTGGAACCCTAATACAAAAAACCTGGGATCACCTTTAAGAGAACAGTCTGTGGAGCTGTCTATGTTTTAACTCCGTCCTTGGAGAATGCATTTATCATGATTTAGCCTTGCCCAACACTGAATTCTTTTCCCAGCCAGAATTCACAAGATGAGGTTGCCTGAAAGAGAGAGAGAATGGTGTCAGAGAGCTGTGGGAAGCCATGGGAGGAGAAAGACATGATTAAATTCGGGAAAATAATTGGGTGTTTAGACCTAAACATGATTGGGGGGTTCGCTCACTGAACCTCCCTGAATAGCACACATTCTCCAGGACATGCCATCACAGGGGTAGGACAGAGCAGTAGTCATCTGCTCTCTCAGCACTTGCATTTGTTATGGGGAAAACACCCGTTCCACTGTTTCTAGAAGGCTCATACATATCTCACCCTTATTACCAGAAGTCCTCTTCAGAAACTGAAGGGATCCACCATGGATTCCAAGGGATCCACCCTCCATGAAGCCCCATGAAGTCCTGCCCCGCAAACACAGCTACCCTTGCCAACCCCAAACTCAGGCTGCCTCCTGAGACCCCATCCCAGGCAGAGGAGCAAGAATAGCTCGTTGCCCAGGGAGAGCAGGGTGAGTCTGGCACCCGATTCCTGAAGCCACAGTCCCCAGGAATCGAGAGACTTCTAAGAAATGTACCCGGCCATTCCCAAGATCACACAACGAGCTTCTTTACTTTGTCTTTGACAAACAACTGAGTGTGTTTAGGGAGAAGCTAAGGGTCACAGAGAATACCAATATTAAGAGCAGACATCAGAACCCTGAAAGTCAATGTTTACCAGGCATGGGATGTTTGTCTCTACGACACACACATTAACTCCTGCAGGACAGGGCCTGTGTCCTGTGCTGGTATTTGCATACCCAGGGCCCAGCACCTGTTCGCGATCACTATGTGTCCAGCAGAGTCTGGCATTCCTCAAGACACTTTTCTCTAAAGCCTGCATTGCTTGTCAGTCATCAACATCCTATGCCTTATTTCCAATAATTTTCTTCTCGTTGACTTTCAGAGTGACAACCGTGTCTCCTTTTTATCATTTGGCCAAGAAATTTTTAAAGCTTCATGCGAGTGTTTTCTGCCGCTTCTGGAACACGGAGCATTCTCTTGGAACATTTCACTCATGGTGCCATGAGAAGCTGATGGCACTTAGGAGGCAGGAAAAGGAGGAGAAGCTGCAAGTGCAAGGATGAGTCCACGAGCCCCCAGATCCTTCAGGCCAAGACATACTGAGTCAGGTGAGGATAAACATGGGGAGGAGATGGGACGGTCCATGTGCTGATTTTGTCAAAGCTCTAAGGGAGAAAGGTCATCTAGCAAGAAACCACAAGTCAGCAAATCTGGAGAAAGACTTGGAATTATCAGGCTCATGGACACACCTTCTATAGGGTGTCATTTCATCTGTTTTTTAATAGCCAATAACTACTTGTAAGTAAGTGGGAAAATACAAGCTTTGACATCTGAACACAAGGGTTTGACTCCCCAGGCTTTTCCACTGCACCTATAAAAGCAGACTCACTGGGGGGTGGATCAGCTACAATGGCATCTACAGTATAACAATTTGTGTAACAAATTGTATATATATTGGGAAGTGGTACCCTGGACAACCATGGGTGGCAACATTTCATTCCAATGTGTGGTACTGTCCTCCCAGGCTTCTAGGTTCTTTCCATAGCACCGGGCAGCTTGGGAATCCCCAGTATTACATTAGTTAAAATTGTAACTGGGCTCTCTGTTTTTAAACTAGCCTGGTTAATACTTGACAGGTGGCAGTGTTTGAAGGCTGCCTTCTGAGAGTGGGTTTACAAGAGCACCCCAGGCACCCTCTGCAGAAGTATTTGTGCTAAATTCACAATCACTTTATTATTTTTTTTCTTTGGAGTCGGCTGTAGTTTACATCTGTTTGCCCCATGAGTCCACTCGTAAAACAAGAGTAGAATTAACAGTTTGTAAGGATTCTTAGGGACTTTATATGTTTGTGAAAATGAAACTAATTCAGCCTAACTCCAACATAACTGCTGCTACACGCCGCGCACAGTGCCCTGCATCCCAGTGGATTCTGCTAACGGTTGTTGACTGACTGATAAACAAGTTCTGGGGTTCTAATTGGCCACGGCCTCCCTGGCTGCTTGGATGATACATGGCTTCGGGTGGAAGATCCAGCCTATATCACTCAGAAACGAGCAAAACAAAACTAAACAAAAAAGATGGGATTGCATGGGTGAAACTTACCAGATGTAGCTTACACCAGCTCCTGACTCCCTCTCCTTCCTTAGGCAGCCCCCGGCTGGAAGCTGTGGCCACTGGACGATGCCCTCAGACCCAGTGAAGATGGGTTAGTAATGCAAGCCCAGCCAGAGGAGCAGGAGCCACTGGGGGAGTCCCCAGAGGGCAGAGTTAGTTCCTACAAAGGAGAGCGCTCAAACTCACCAAACTCATCAATTAACTTCGGACCAAGTCAGACACTGGAAATGGGGCTTTAAAAAGCACATTAAAAAAAAAAAAATTTTTATCAGTAGGGTAATAAACAAATATATAATTATGAGACTGTGTGCTAAGTGCTATTTGAGAATTACATATAGGAAAATGCCTTGGACGGTCACCGAGTACACTGGGTGGTAGGGGTAGGGAGGGGAATTCAGGAAAGCTTTCCTGAGCTGAGATTTATATGTAAAATAGAAAGGATCCTGGCAAAGGGTGCCTGGGTGGCTGAGGCATTAAACATCTGGCTTCAGCTCAGGTCATGATCCCAGAGTTCTGGGATTGAGTCCCATGTCAGGCTCCCTGCTCAGTGGAGAGCCTGCTTCTCCCTCTCCCAATCCACTTGCTTGTGTTCCCTCTTTTGCTATGTCTCTCCCTGTCAAATAAATTTTAAAAATCTTAAAAATATAAAAATAAAAATATAAAAAAGGAAGGATGGATGGATCCTGGTAAAGATGCCAGGAGAGCCCAAGCAGGAGGGCAAGAGGACAGGTATAGGAGAAAGCCAGGACAGCGTGACTAGCCGCGTAAAAACTAACTCACATGTGTGCTTGTTGTGTGGTTTGCGAAGGGCCTGTAGAAACTGCTTGGCCTCTCTGCAGTATCTGGAGTAGACTGTCACATTTACCTTGAGACTCTCTCTTCTCCGGGTCTGTGCATCACTTGCTCTTTTCTGGTCTACCCCCTCTGTGAGATTTGCCACAGTAACTCTTTTGTGGGCTGGTTCCTCATCCCCTATACCCCTGTCAGGCTTGGGGTACCCCCACATATCCTCCCAGCCCTCTTCTCCATTTATGCCTTGTCCTCTGTGGTCTCATTCAGAGCCCTATCTTATAATTTTATTTTATTTTACTTTATTTATTTGAGAGAGAGAGAGAGAGCACAAACAATGGGGAAGGGCAGAAGGAGAAGCAGACTCCCTGCTGAGCAGAGAGCCCGATGTGGGACTCAATCCCAGGACCCTGGGATCATGACCCAAGTGGAAGGCAGACACTTAACCGACTGAGTCACCCAGGAACCACCAGGGCCCTATCTTTTAAAGCTATGTTTAGGTAGATGAATTCTCAGTCCTTCCAGCCTGACCTCTCCTCTGAATTCCACATGTTGGAAGGTGGAGGAGAGACAGTAAAGTATCCCCCAAATTGATATGGCTCTTTGAGACCAGAAAACAAAACAGGCTATCCCATGGAGTTTACACAGAGTTTTGCTCAGGGTAACTTACTGACCAGGGGATTGGATCGGGCAGACGACAATCCATAGTTATGCTCTATAAAATCCAGACCTTATCCCCAGATTTTAAAGAGCAAGGGTCACGGAGAAGGACATTGTAGTGAAATCAAAGGGCTTGCACATTACCTCAGTGACAGCTAATCTTTGGTTAGATCTTGTGGTACCACCTTGTACATCAGGAAGGGGAAAGACCATGCTATCTCTAACATTCAGGGGAGGCCAAAACAACCCTCGCCCCATCCCAGCCCTGGTGGGCATATCTAAGGTATGTATGTTCATCTCCAAGGTGCCTGGAACATGTAGTCCAGGAGAGGTCACTGAGCAAACGTGAACAAGATGGAGGGCCAAAGACGGAGTCGCTATTGGACTGACCGTGTTCGCATGTCCTGGTGCAGAATTCACATCTCTACTCAGACTGCAAGCTTAGCGTGGCGAATCCAGAATTCTTATTGTCCTTGAGTCTCCCAGCCGTGCTTCTCCAAGTCTTCCCATTTCAATAAACAGCACCACTAACCACTCAGCGGCTTAAATAAAAAACCTGGGAGTCATCCTGTTTCCCCGGTACCCTCGCATTCCCCATCTGAACCAGAAACAGTTCTCTCGACTCAGCTCCAAAATCAATCCTTATTTATTTATTTTTAAATACTTTATTTATTTACTTATTTGAGAGAGAGAGAGATAACAAGAGAGTGTGAGAGTGAAGGGGGTAAGCAGGGAAAGGGAGAAGCAAGCTCCCCACTGAGCTGGGAGCTTGATCCCAGGACCCTGGGATCATGACCTGAGCTGAAGGAAGATGCTTAACTGACTGAGCCACCCAGGCGCCCCTAAATCCTCATTTGAAATGCTTCTTAGTGTCGCAACTTCTAAAACTCTGGTTGGAGAACTATCATTTCTTGTTTGATCCACTGCAATAGCTTTCTTCGGTAGTCATTCCCAATCCTTGGGATCTTTTTTCATATTTTGCTCATCTTTTCAAAGCGAAATCAAACAAAAATCTTTCCTCCTTAAATGACTCAATGAATTCCCATTGCAATGAGCCTAAAAGCCAAACTTCTTGTCATGGCCTGCAAGCCCCTTGTCACTTCTCCTCCTTGTCTGCCCCCTTCACTCTCTCCTCAATTTCTAATGTTGCAGACCCCTTGATCTTCCTTCTGTCCTCAGTCACACCAAACCCTTACTGGTCTCAGAGCCTCTGAGCTCACTGTTGTCTTGGTTTAAAGTGCCCTTCTTCATTACCCTGGAATGGTACCTCCCCTCCTTTGGGGTTCAGCTCAAATGCACCCCTAAGAAAGCTTTTTTTCTGATCTGAGGATCAGCAGTCACTTCCAACCCCCTCTCCTCTCTATCCTCCACCTTTTTTAAAGAATTTATTTATTTATTTGACAGATGGAGATCACAGGTAGGCAGAGAGGCAGGCAGAGAGAGAGGGGGTGGGTAGCAGGCTCCCTGCTGAGCAGAGAGCCCGATGCGGAACTCGATCCCAGGACCCTGAAATCATGACCTGAGCTGAAGGCAGAGGCTTAACCCACTGAGCCACCCAGGCGCCCCTCGATCCCTTTTTTATATTCCTCACAAATTGTGTTGCTGTCTAAAACTCTCTTATTGGTTTGTCTACTCACTTATTGTCTCTCTTTTGAGAGACAGGGACTTTGAGAGAATAGGGACTTTGATTTGCTCACCTCTGAATTCCTAGTGCCTAAAATGGAGTGTGACATGTAGCATGGACCCACTAAATACTTGCCAGTGACCTCGTGAATATCTGAACCAGGAGTGATCGGGTGCGAGTAGCCCCCAGTGAGAGCTCACCTGATCCAGGACTGTTGTCACTGTATCGTGACGGGCTGACCTACCAATCGGATTGGCTCATTGTGTATTGGAGACACCAGGAGTAAGGCTGTCAGTTAGCACCAGGGGAGGTGGAAGCACAGATAGAAGTGATATCGCTCTACTGGTGGCCCATCAGAGTGATGGGAAGTGGAAATGAGCTGCTAGGAAGACAGCAAAATTATCAGAATGCCAAAATGCTGCAGGGTCTGGAACTTCCCATGATTTCCTGGGAGGCCTCACCCGGCAGCTTGCAAGGTGGTCGCCTGCTCCTCCATATGTCATCATTAACTACGTTGGCCTGAATGTGTCTCTGTTCCTTACACCTTGCAAGTGACTGACTAATGGATGCTCCTTATTGTATCTTCACTTCAGCTGAAAGCATGCTGGGATGTAGAGGGAGGGACAGAGGAAGAGACTTGCCCAGGATTGCAGGGCTGAGTCGGGGCTTGAGCTTTTCCACTGTATCAGCTGCCTCCAACCGTCCTAGGAGATAGGAAGGAAATGAACTACCCCGAGAAAGAATCTCTTATCTCTTAGGTAATTTGCCTGGAAGCT